CCAAGCCAACCCTCTCAGTCAACTTCTCCAGCACTTCTTGCTGTCTTTCTGAACTTTTCTCATTGCAGTGGTCACGGAGCCGCCAGCAACACCAAATACACCCAACTGTCTGTGCCACTGCTACTGCACCCAGGTGCATGCATCACACTGTTACTGCATTCAGCTGTCTGTACCACACTGTCACTACACTCGGCTGTCTGTGCCACACTGTCACTACACTCAGCTGTCTGTACCACACTGTCACTACACTCAGCTGTCTGTACCACACTGTCACTACACTCAGCTGTCTGTACCACACTGTCACTACACTCAGCTGTCTGTACCACACTGTCACTACACTCAGCTGTCTGTACCACACTGTCACTACACTCAGCTGTCTGTACCACACTGTAACTACACCTAGCTGTCTGTACCACTCACTACATTCAACTGTCTGTACCATATTGTCACTACACTCAGCTGTCTGTACCACACAATCTCTTCACATACTTCGCTCAATCATCTCTGCCTAGCCCTTCACTAACAATTAGTAATGTGCAAGAAAGGTATACAATACCGACAAGATGAAAGTTAAGACACATGTGCAACTACAACTAACCCATCCCTTTGGGTATGACCTACTTCCACTGGGAAATCCCGCCTACCAGTGACAATGCCCTCGTCTGCTACCTGTCCCTCTCCACTGACGCCTATATTAGCTCCAGCCTCCTTGCCCGTGCTCCAGAATCTCTACAACTACGGTGCTTTTCACACCAACTCCAAGGCTGAGGGACTGATTACCTCGATCTTTTGTATATATATTTACTGTCTTCCAGTTACGTCCTAGAATCTGTATTGATAAAGCCACTGGATGGCGAAACGTCTACAATGAAGATACACAAATGTTACACGTGTCTTAACTTTCAACAATTAGTAATGTAAACTGTACCCAAATGGAAACACACGTATTACCAACAACCTCAAGAAAATTCCTGTTCTATAAATCTTCCTGCGCAATGCATATTTCGTCTAGTACAAATTCAGACACCTAAACAGATGGCAATGCCTAATCATTTATATTATACTCCCTGGAAAGTAAGCGAGAAAGATACAACAAAATTTACACCTGGAAAATACTGGAGATGATTCTTACTCATTTGCGTACTGAAACGATTCCTCGTGAGAGCAAGAACATGGAAGACACTGCAAAATACTGCCTTACCAGGCTCGTCTAGTGCTTGCCTGGTCAATCAGGCTGTTGCTGCTGGAGGCCTACCACCCCACATATTCATCACAGCCCGGTTGATTTGGCACCTGTTGATACTTGTCCAGTTTTCTCTTGAAGACTTCTACATTAACATTAACATCTCCATTCAAAGCAGGTGAAATCGCAGATCTAGAGAGTGTACAGAGATCCTTTACTGCACGTATAAGTTCTGTCAAGCACCTTAACTACTGGGAACGCTTGGAAGCACTTAGACTTGTACTCGTTGGAACGCAGGAGGGAGAGATATATCATAATCTACACTTGGAAAATCTTGGAAGGAATGGTCCCAAATCTGCACAAAGAAATCACTCCCTACGAAAGTAAAAGACTGGGCAGGCGATGCAAAATGCCCCCAATAAAAATTACGGGCGCCATTGGTACACTAAGGGTAAACACCGTAAGTGTCCGGGGCCCAAGACTGTTCAACAGCCTCCCATCAAGCATCAGGGGAATTGCCAATAAGCCCCTGGCTGCCTTCAAGAGAGAGCTGGACAGATACCGAAGTCAGTGCCGGATCAGCCGGGCTGTGGCTCGTACGTTGGACTGCGTGCGGCCAGCAGTAACAGCCTAGTTGATCAGGCCCTGATCCACCGGGAGGCCTGGTCATGGACAGGGCCGCGGGGGCGTTGATCCCCAGAATAACCTCCAGGTGTTTCTGACATTTTCTGGTAAGATGTTGAATAATCTGGGGCCACGAATGTTGACAGTGTTCTATTATTGTGCCCACCGCACCCCTGCTTTCCGCTGGGATTATTCTGACAGTTAAATCAGAAGAGAAAACTACATAAATGATCATTTAATAAACACTACATACCCAAAAGTATTTAAAGACCCGCCATTGTTGGATCCAAATGATGTACTGCCAACAACAGTATAGAAGACACGTTGCAGAACAAGCTTTATCAACAGTAACAGCTTATGTGCAACGTGTGATGTCCCCACCTTCCCTCACTCTGTGCAGAAGTTCATCATGCCTTTAATAACCTTTTCATTAGTTCCGAGAGTTTTGTTACTCACGGAGCTCGGACATAGGGCAGGTTAGTCTCGTGCTTGCTCTACGAACAACAAAATGCTGTCTTAGTAAAGGTTTGTTTCGCACCAAATTTGACCACATGTAAACAATTTACACAACAGCACCTCTGCAAAGCCATCCAAATGCATTTTGCGTACAGTCCTACAGTCTAGATTTTTGTAGCGCAAGTAACTCCAGCCAAATTATTTCTTAAATAAAGAAATTAGCTGAAGGTTAACCTGGCAGTGTCTAACTACATTTTAGGAGGCAAATTAAAGTCATCCAGATCACAGCTGACAAGAAAAACGGCGGCAATCATCCTAAGTGGAGTGAAATCTCTTCAATCCCTGCAACTCAGAGACTAAATCCAGGAAGAACCGAAGAAAGGAGAAGACGAAGGGAGACCAGGACAAGACTACAGGGAGACGAAAGGTAGACCAGAGACAGCCATGGAAAACAAAACATGAGACCAGGAAAGATAAACGGGAGAGCAGAGGAAGAGGACAGGAGACCAGAACTGCAGACATTTGAGAAATGGTCTGGTAATACCGAGATGATGTGGAAAAAGACACTTATGTAAAGTTCAGGACAGTTATTAAAGGAAACGTTTCATCACGAATGGCTTCTTCAGTCCTAAAAACATTTACATTACACCAAAAGGAAGCAATACACTGATATCAACTTTGTTTAGCACAAATAAATGTGGCCAGCCAAATAAATGTCCAACATCAGTGGACTGTAAATGACACACATTCAAAGCTCTAATTAAAAACTTTATTCAATGTTTCTCCTGTAGAACTTTTTTTTTTTTTAATTCTTATAACTCATAGCTGGTGGTAGTATATAACCATCACAAAATGGTTGATCTGGCACCTGGTGGAAGTAGTGATCCAGTTTCCTTTTTAAAACTTTTACATACATTCCAGCAATATTTCTGATATTTGTTGACAATGTTGAAAAGCCTTGGGCCACGCATGTTGACACAGTGTTCTCTTACGGCTCTTGTAGCACCTCTGCTTTCACTCTGTTTTAACCTCCATCTCTCTCATTCTAGTTACTGTTGAAAGTATAAATTTGGGATCTGGCCCTCAAATATTTTTCCAGGAATAAATTATAAAGTATCTTGTACGCTCCAGACAGTACACTTCAAATACTTCGAGTTAATAATACTTTACAAGCTTCGACTCTGTGCAATCCTGAACACTTTCCAGCTCTGACAGCTTTCCTGTCTTGAATGGAGCTGTAAACAGAGACCATCGCCCAATGGAAGTAAGTCGCTCTCGGACTTTTTTGGGTTGTCCTAGGTTCTCTACACACATGCTGCTATGTATGATAATCTAGGTAACTGTATTTGTGTATACCTGAATACACTTACTTGTTTTCAAAGTACTAATGATTCACCCAGTCTTTTTTTTTTTTTTTGCATTATCTACGTTGTGTATTTCTAAATGAAGGATTGTATGGTTTAACTAGTTATTAAGTCTTTCACTTGCTTGTGTACATGAATGGTATACAGTACCGTCAAGATGAAGAATTAGACACGTGTGTAACATCTGGGTATCTTTATTTGTAGACGTTTCGCCATTCAGTGGCTTTATCATTGTATTGTATTGATAAAGGCACTGGATGGGGGAAACATCTACAAATAAAGATACCCAGATGTTTCACCTGCTTCTTATATTGTTGGAGATGGTCTGCCTAAGTCTTTTTATCCTCTGTTCTTTCTTGGTTCTTCGTTCCTCCCATTTCTAAGCAAATGAAATTTGTCACTAAAAAACGCTTTTTTTCCTTCGCACACTGAATTTTTTATTAGTATACCATTGTAATTTTTCTGTATCCTCTACCAAGGCGACTTTCATACCTATTTTGGTATCGTCCTCAGAGGATGATCCGAAGCAGTGGCAATGATGATGTGCAACAGGAAAGGTGATAAGACCCTGGAGTATACCTGGAGAGGGTTTCGAGAGTCAACGCCCCCGTGGCCCGGTCTGTGACCAGGTCTTGGACTGCTAAACTGTTAGGTTAGACTTGACTTTTTCTGCCATTCTGCGTTCTGTTTGCTGTAAAATTAAATATTTATCTTCTAACCTTTCCTGTTGTACATATTAACTATATTTTATGTGCTACCACTCCACGGTCACAATTGTTAAATATCTCTGCAAAATCTATGAAGACCATATCTAGAAATACGTATTCTATTAATACAAGTATTAGTGTGCCTGTGTATGCATGCATGTGCATGCATAGGCGTGCAAAAAAAACATGCCCCTGTGCGTGCGTGTGCATGCCCCAATGCATGCATGTACATGTGTGTGCGCGTGTGCATGCCTGTGAACGTGCATTGGTAAGTGCGTGAACCCATGTCTGTATACTTGAACAATTATAATAACCTACACGATTATTAACTTCCAACTGAGGTACACTTGCGCTGCCACACTTGCTTCTGAACCCTAGTGAAAACTACTGTTGTAGGTTGTGTTTGTGTTTGGGTCGAGTCTCAGCTCTGAACCCTCTTCTTGAAGCTGTGGCGAGCATCGTAGTGTGTTTGTGTGGGTCGAACCTCAACTCTTGAAGCAGCTGTAAGTGGTTTGTGGGGTTTGAGTCTCAGCTCTTGGCCCTGCCTCCTACACTATGATGTGCTTTACTAGCTTCTAGCCTCTTGTGTCTTAAGCCTTACCATACCTAGTCTTAAAGATGTGTGGCAGCAAGTGCAGTAATTTGAAACAAAGTAGACAGACTTACCGCACTGACAATCTGTTGGTCTACACCATTAGCAACGACGGGGGGACCGACTGGAACTTGCACCTGCATACCTCCCGCTACCGTCGCTCCACTGTCAGGAAGAAACATTATGTTATCACCACCTCAACCATAACTTCTACCACGCCTGTAGTATGGGAAAGGAACACGCTATCAGGGAGAAACATTATGTTACCACAACCACAACCCTCTACCGCAACTGCACTAGGGGTAAAGGAAACAGTGTCAGTGAGGAAACAATACACAATAACCAATCATGATCACCACCACCAAATCTATCACACCTGTGCTGGGACAGGGAACACAGTCAATGGGGCAGGGGGGGGGAGAACAAACACTGTGTTACAACTTGGGAAAGGAACATATTCGAAGGAATGGGAAATCGGGAAAGGGAAGTGAGGAGGAAAATAGAATAGCATGGGGCTTGCCAGATGAAAAACGAGAGGGAGGAAATCAAGAGGGAAGGAGAGACACAAGAAAAAAGAAAGTCAAGAGAGGGAGTGAGAAAAGCTGTGTATGATTAGTACCGGAGGTATTTAATAGGGAGGGCTGGGAGGGCTATTTGTTGTCTGTAAAGCAGCACTGGGAATTATTTTCCCCACGGTCCAGTCTCAGACTATGCCTGTTAAGTTGTAAAAAGTAAATATTACAGAATTAAGAACTATCAAGAACATAGTTATATGAAGATAAGAGTATAAGATAAGAAGATAAGATATATATGAAGATAAGAGTATATATGAAGATAAGAGTATGTAATACATACTATATAAGGTTTGTCATCTTAAGTGCTTACAAAACAAAAACATCACCAATTCTTCCTATCTTATTTAACAAGAGGATAGACAGCAATCTATCTTCTTTAACAACAGGATAGACAGCAGTCTACCTACCTTCTACCTGTGGCCCTGGGCCCTGTGGCCCAAAACAGATCACAGGTAATGGTGAAGGAGAAAGGTGTGCGGAGAAACACGAGGAATTTCGGGGATAATGAGAGAGAGAGAGCTGGGGAAAGCAAGCTTTAAGGGATGGGAAAGGAAAGAGGGGAGGAAAAAATAAAGAGGGCGATGGTGTAAGAGGTTCTTTGCACGGTTGAATCATAGATACATCATCAGTGTGATGCTACACTACTCCTGCATCCTAGCAACAACAGTCAACTTGGTTTTACTGTCACCGTAATGAAATAGAAAGAGGCGGATGGAAAGAGAGAGAGAGGAAATACAGAGGGAGACAAAAAAAAAAGAGAGAAACTTGAGAGGGAGATATAAAAAGGAAGAGAGAAAAACTGAAAGGGAGATATAAAAAAGAGGAAGAGAGAAAAACAGAAAGAGGGAGAGAGCAAATGCAGAGGGAGATACAAAAATTATATATATATATATATATATATATAATATATGTCGTGCCGAATATGTAAAATTGGTCAATTAGCAAGAACTCATTTAAAATTAAGTTCTTTCTAAAAATTTCTCTTATACGTTTAAAGACATTTTTTTTCATTAATGTTAATGTAAAATTTTTTAATTTTCCTCCAAACGAATCTTAGAAAACTTACCTAACCTTATTATAACAAGAACAATTTATTTTAGCCTAACTCAACTAAATATATTTTAGATTTATTTACAATAATTTAATACTAAACAAACACAGTGAAATATATATTTTTCGTTAGGTTCAGAATGATTTTGGCGAAATTATTGCATACACAAATTTTCGCTTGTCCTATATGGCAAGATGAGCGTTGCTATTTAAGCCAAGATCGCAAGTTCTGCCTATTCGGCACGACATACATACACACAAACACACACACACTATATATATATATATATATATATATATATATATATATATATATATAATTATATAAGAGGGACGGCAAGCAGCAGCTACACTGAGTGTATTCTTCTCCAGAACATCACTTCATCTGAGATTATTTATTCCCAGGATGACTCGTGCGTGGAACATGTTCGTACAGCATAATGACATCAAGGAAATAAAGTCAGCTGATCAAATGAAACAGCTGGCCCAGAGATGGCTCCAACTTCATCCTGTTTCCTATTTGTATGTCTTATAATAATAAAAATGCTTTTAAATGAGCTGATGTACGTAACAGCTCTTAGCTTGTAAATAAAGTTAGGAATTCTTAACTTAACCTTGTAAAACACTGTATAAGAGAGAGAAAATTGAGAGATATATATAAAAATGAGAGGGAGAGAAGAAAATAGGAAGAGGAAAACAGGAGGGGGAATGGAAAGATGGCAAACTAGAGGGGAAATAAAAAAAATGGGAAAGAAGGGAAAGTTAAAGGCACAAGAGGGGATTTAGATGGAGAGAGTAAGAAAAGTGGATAGGAGAGTGGAAAGGGTTAGATAAAAGGAATAGATGGAGAAGGAAAATGGAAACGGGGAAAGTGGAAATTGGGAGAGATGAAGGGGCGGGGGGAAGGACAGGAGGAGGAGAGGGAGAGAAGGAAGAGAGGAGGGTGAGGAGAGAGAAGATGGAGAGGGCAGGGAGTTGAGAGAGGTGAGAGGTACAGAGGGGTAGAGGTAGACAGAGGTACAAAGAGAGAGAGGGGGGTAGAGAGAAAGAACTAGAGAGGAAGAGAGGTAGAGAGAAAGAGATCTAGAGAGGAAGAGAGGTAGAGAGAAAGAGATCTAGAGAGGAAGAGAGGTAGAGAGAAAGAGATCTAGAGAGGAAGAGAGGTAGAGAGAAAGAGATCTAGAGAGAGAGAGGTAGAGAGAAAGAGATCTAGAGAGGAGAGAGGTAGAGAGAAAGAGATCTAGACGAGTGAAGAGAGTTAGAGAGAAAGAGACGAGAGGAGGAACGAGTTGGGAAGAGGTAGAAAAGCTGAGTAGAGGTGAAGAGATCTAGAGAGGTAGAGAAAAGGATCTAGAGAGTGAAAGAGTCTAGAGATAGAAAGATTAGAGTAGGTAGAAAGAGATCTAGAGAGGTAGAAAGTGAGATTAGATAGAAGAGGATTAGAGGGTAGAAGAAGGATCTAGTGAGTAGAACGGAAGAGGATGAGACGGGGAGGTCTGAGAGAGGTGAAAGGAGATCGGGTGAGAGTACAAGGAGAGCTGAGAGGTAAAGGTGACAGCTGCCTAGAGGCTACTATAACAGAACCAAGGACTGCAGCGGTGTCTGGTTGAGGGAGCAGGTGAAGAGACAAGTAGTCTAGGATAGCAGGGTGAAGAGTGATACCGTAGGCAACAAGCTTAACTGAGTCGAAACGGTAAGATAATCAGGGTGACTCCGGCTTATATAAATCACGGAGGACTGAGTATGGAAACCAGCCTCTTAGGTAAACAGATCTAAGTATATAAGTACACCTAAATCTCACAGACGTGTATAGAGCAATAGAATCTATAGTCACTCACACTCTTAGAATAAACCGATCTGAGTATCACAAGTACAATCAATACATCACAATTCAAGAGTTGAAATCTAAATACAAGATCTATGATAACAACTAACTAACACTATATTACATCAACAGACTATAGTAGTCTGAAAACACGCTTTATGATACTAACATGATACATCACATCCAGCTATAATACACCCTGCCCCTATACTCACACCGCCACCTCTAATAATACCTCACACTATACATCACCACTACCACTCTATACATCACACTCATCGTTACATACATACCACATCTTATTAATCATCATACCACTTATACATACCACTTATCATCACACATCTATACATCACACTCACCACACTTATACATCACATCACACATCTATACATCACCACTACACCTCTTATATACATCACCACTCACATCTATACATCACCACTCACCACATTTAATACATCACCACATCTATATCATCACCAATCACACTCTATATACATACCACTCACCACTCTATACATCACCACTCACACTCTATACATCACACTCACCACTCTATACTACCACTCACCACTCTATACATACATCACCACCATCTATACATCATCACCACTCTACAACATCTATAAATCACCACCACACCTCTATTACATCACCACTCACCACCTCTATACATCACCACCACATCTATAACATCACCACTCACCACATCTTATACATCACTACACACACATCTATACATCACCACTCACATCTATACATCACCACTCACACTCTATACATCACCACACACCACTCTATACATCATCACCACCCATCTATACATCACCACCACCTCTATACATCACCACACACCACATCTATACATCACCACTCACCACATCTATACATCACCACTCACCACATCTTACATCACACTCACACATATCATCACCACCATCTATACATCACCACTCACATCATACTACATCCCCTCACCACTCTATACATCACCACTCACCACTCTATACATCACATCTATACATCACTCACACTCTATACATCACACACTCACATCTATACATCACTCACACCATCTATACATCACCATCACACATCTATACATCACCACTCACATCTATACATCACCAACACACATCTATACAATCACTACACCATCTATACATCACACACCACATCTATACATCACCACCACCACTTATACATCACACACTCATCTATACATCACACACTACCACATCTATACATCACACACATTCACACCACCCAATATACATCCCCACATCTAACATCACCACACTCTATACATCACACACACCACAACTCTATACATCACCTATACATACACTACCCTTATACATCACACCATATACACACCACCTCTATACATCACCACACCACACCTCTATACATCACCACACCACATCTATACATCACACACACCACTCTATACATCACTACACACATCTATACATCACACACCACTCTAACATCCACTCACACATCAACATACCACCATATACATCACAACACTTTACACACACCATCTATACATCACACACACACTCTATACATCACCACAACACCACCACTCTATACTCACCACAACATTATACATCACATCACAACCTCTATACATCACACACACACTATACATCACCACCACCATCTATACATCACACACACACCAACATCTAACTACACAACACACC